TGAGCTGCAGCACGGTGGCCAAGACCATACAGCGGTTTAACAGGACAGGTTCCACTCAGAACAGGCCTCGCCATGGTCAACCAAAGAAGTTGTTCGTGTTCAGCGTCATATCCAGAGGTTGTGTTTGGGAAATAGATGTACGAGTGCTGCCAGCATTGCTGCAGAGGTTGAAGGGGTTGGGGGGTCACAAGCTGTACACTCACTACTTTACATTGTAGCAAAGTGTCATTTCTTCAGTGTTGTCACATGAAAAGATATAATAAAATATTTACAAAAATGTGAGGGGTGTACTCACTGTGAGATACTGTAAATATATGATCACAAGGTTTGAAAACATTTTTGAAACAATTCAAAAGACATTTAATTCAGTGTCTCTATGTCATCATTAGCTGCAATTGCAGCAATTCTACGTGTGATTGGTGACATATTTATTGATGCGAATAAGCCATTTAGATTTGTTCTATGTCAATCCATCGAGACTGAGAGTTGTTCAGAAACCTGTAACACTTCCAGATCTGCACCAGCACCCTGTCAGCTAAAAAGGTGCTACCGTAGTGCTTCAGTAACTCCTAACATGACATTTACTTCCATGGTTATCAATCTACAAAAATAAAAAAAAAGAGAGAAATGATCACAGGACTTAGACTTCCACATCCCCATTTAGAAAGAGGAAGATACTGCTGGATATCTGTTCAGTTCTGCCTGAGGATCCACTACTCAACAAGCTTAAAGGGATAGATCACAAAAAAAAATTAAAATCATCATTTACTTACCCTCAAATTGTTCCGCTGTATGAATTTCTTTCTTCTGCTGAACACAAAAGACGATATTTTGAAGAATGTAGGTAACCAAACTGTTGCTGGTCCCGATTGCCTTCCACAGAACTCGGAAGAAATTTCAGCAGAAGAAAGAAATTCATAAAGATTTGGAACAACTTGAGTGAATTGAGTTGAGTGAATGAAAACAGAGTTTTCTGTTTTGGGTGAACTATCCCTTTAAGCTTGTTGAGTGGTGGATCCTCAAGCAGAACTGAACAAATATTTATCATTCAGTATATAAATCCCACTACTATGTTTTAAATCCATGAGCTGAGATTACTTCATCTTTCATAACAAACAAATTAACTGACCAGGACAAGTCTGAAGTCAAGATATCACGGTGAAGTCCAGCATCTCTGACCTTTAAACAGACGCTATAGATCAACAAACAAACTTCAACACTATCTAAAAGCACTGCCCGCCAGCAAAACAACATTGCAACCTACTTCATTTTTCTCTTCAGTTCTTTTAGTTACTGAAACTTTTCAGTTCTTCTAATAACAAATGACAACTTCTATAGAATTTAATCAGAGTAGATTCATTTGAATTGTAGATTCATAGATTCAATTTTTTTTGTAAAGGCCTTAAGGTCTAATTTTAATGTTCTGAGGCTTTTGTCTAGGGCTGCAAAATTATTAATCGTGATTAATCGCATTCAAAATAAAAGTTTTTTTACAAATGATATGTGTGTGTACTGTATATTTATTATGTGTATATAAATACACACATATATGTATATATTAAAAAAAATATTTGTATGTATACAGTATATATTTATACTTGTATATAATTTATTTTATATATAACATAAATATTTTATATATAAATCTAACATATTTTTCCTTAATACATACATGTATGTGTGTGTATTTATATATAATATATATATATATATATATATATATATATATATACACATAATAAATATACACAGTACACACACATATAATATTTAACAAACTTTTATTTTGAATGCGAATAATCGCAGGGGGGGGGGTTAGGGGGTGCAACATTTTAAAATAAGATTATTCAGTTAATTTAGTTAATGGAGTTGGTACTGTACTTTTTACTGTACAACATTTATTAATGTTGGTTAATGGTAATATCTACATTTTTGACATTTTAGATTTTAAAAATTTTATGTTGTGTAAATTAACATTAGTTAGGGTTAGGGTTAGGGTTCACAATGAACAATAGTATAACTTAGTATAACATTCTTCTAGAATAATAAAAGCTGCAAAAAATGCATTAGTTTATAATACATTGTGCATTATTTACTAATGTTAATGGAATGAACCTTATACTAAAGTGTTACCAAAAAAGACATGTGCCACCATCAAAGACAGCAAGAGATACTAGATGTGCCTGTTGTAACCAGAGGAAGATGTTCACAAAAGCAGAAGTGAAGAACTGTGCAAAACACCAAACATTAACAGTGTGTCATACAGAGAGTGAAATATTTAAAAGGGACAAATCATCAAAGAAAGATGCCAGAGAGAGAGAAGGACCACAGCATAATCAAAGATGTTCTGAAAAAATGGCTAAAATTACTTTCCTTTGTGCAGCGTGGCTCATTTGAGTGAGGAGAACTGAAATATCTAGAATATATGGCTTAGAATGAATAAGAGCGAGTCACTGAAACTTGTTTGTTGTGAGCTTAGATGATGAATTTGTATGTGACTTAAGTTACTCAGTAATCACAAGAACTCTGACCCTGACAACAAGACACAGTAGTAATATGAGAGCAGCTATGGGATCTCTCCTTGGGGAATTTTCAGGATTTCAGTAAAGAAAAGCTGGTCTTAATGGGGACAAACGGGTACACTTTTACAATATGAACCAACCAGGGTCAGTAGAACCTCAGCTTACCCTTAAATTACCCTGTAGAAACCACCTAACATGACCAAAAAATCATCAAAATCCTTGCCAATAGGATGGAAAATCCCCAAGCCAAAGGGAATGTCAATTAAATCAATCAGCCAAAATATTGTTTAACAAGGAATTTTATAAACATTTGGTCTAGTCTTTATTATACAGTACACCACCATGCCATTTTCAACAGGTGTTAGCTAAGAAAGAGTTGTATTGTGATTTAATAGACCATAACATAGGTTAAAGTAAAACATTTATATCTTGACGTTATATGATTACACTGACTGACAGACATGTAGTCAGATAGATAGATAGATAGATAGATAGATAGATAGATTCTAACGCTGAAAGGAGAAGACAGGACTATGACATCACAGGCGCGAGAGAGCGACGGCGCGCCTCGTGAATTATGATGTCATAAAGAAGCATCAGCTGAAACAATAGCAGATGACCGCGGCCTGTTTTCGCCTTTGATCGTCATGATAAAACCAAGTTCTGCGGACGTGAATGAGGATAGGAGCTGTGACAGGCTCGAGGGCTGAGTGTTGACGGCTGAATGTACTGACCCAGTCCGCTGAGGTCCTGTCTGACGCTCAGGCGGTTCCGCTCGTCCGCGATGGCCTTCAGCATGTGCTGCAGGGACTGGTCCGGTTCGACGGGATCATCGCTCTGACCCGATAGAGCTGCCATAATGCGCGCGGATGTCATGACACGATCTCACCGCTCATCTCACCGACCGCCGTACATGACACAAGCCGAGCACAACAACACAAGCTTTCTGCACTTCCGTCAGCGGCGACGCATCGCGTCGGGAACACCCCATGCTCGGCCTGTGATGTCACGCCGTAGGCGGCACTTAAAGGGGGCATGCCACTTCTAATATTGCCTCTCACCCGGTTTTTTTTAGTCTATGCTCTCACCTCAGGTGTGTTATATGGAACAGCTCGCTCCCAAAATGAATTAGACGGGTCATCTTGTTAATGCTATAAATTAATTACAACAATAAAATTTGTAAGTTGTTTGTTGATCACAAAGTACAAAATAAATTAGGAAAACTAGGAAGCCGGGTGTAAAGCGCCGCCATTACTGTCTAGAGTGCGTGGAATGGTGCGCTGTGATTGGTTGAGCGGATATATGGCATTCTGCAGAAAAGGGAGACTGGCGTTTGTCACAGTTTGGGAAAAAAAAGGGAGAAAACATGACAGAATAACTCGGCGGATATCGCATTTTGCGTCAAATTAAAAATTGACTTCAATAACGACCAGATACAATACTGATTTTGGCGGAAACTCTATTTTTTATTTTTTTAATGCCGTTTATCGCGTTTTGGAACCAAACTCTCTCTCTCTCTCTGTCTCTCTCTCTCTCTCTCTCTCTCTCTCTATATATATATATAT